GGGTTTAGGGTTCAGAGGGGTTAGGGTTTAGGGTTTAGGGTTTAGGGCTTATAAACCTCCAGCTAGGAGGGCATTTAGCTTGTACTGGCTTGTGGCGGAAGCTCGTCTCAGGTCAGCGCTTTGGGTTAAGGGTTTCGGTTCAGGCTAGGGCTAGGGTTTTTATGTTGCGGTTCTGGGGCCCTTGTGGGTTTGGGGCCCTTGGGGGTTTGGGGCCCTTGGGGTTTCGGGTTTAGGGCAACCAGGCTTGGAGATGCTTCAAGAGGAAACATTCTGTCTTGGGGTTCGTATTTCGTTTGCAAGGTTTGGAGTTTGGCGTTCTTGCGGGTTTTGTGTTGAGATCTCCTGAAGAGCTCAGGGTTTCGTTCGCGCATTTTGTGCAGGTCCCTCTGATACCACCCCTGAACCCAAAACCCAAAACCTAAGCGCTAAACCCTAAACACCCTACAACACCCTAAATCGCTGAGTCCATGGGGCCAAAACAGCAAGCAGGAAACAAGGGATGTCAGAGGGACCAGCCTCATGATGGGCAGAAGGACCTCAAAAGGCACCCTCAGTTGGACAACTCTCTAAACCCGAAACCCTCAACCCTAAACCCTAAACCTGAAACCTAAACCGCTTGCATCGCTGGTGTGATCGCTGAGACACCAAGCCATACTCGACTCCTCGTCCCGCTCTCCAAATCTCTGACTCACCAAACGGTCACTTCACTTAGGGGTCTTTGGGGTCACGTTTATCAGGCGGCCCCTAATAGTTTGCGTAACCCAAAGGGACCCTAAACCCTAAACCCTAAACCCCAAACCCTAAACCCTAAACCCTAAACCCTAAACCCTAAACCCTAAACCCTAAACCCTAAACCCTAAACCCCTAAACCCCTAAACCCCTAAACCCCTAAACCCCTAAACCCTAAACCCTAAACCCTAAACCCTAAACCCTAAACCCTAAACCTAAGACCCAGAAGGGACCACCAAATCGGGTATTGCAGCCATTTTGGCTCCAACAGCGCTTCCTCACAGCTGTTGGTCATGGAGAATGGCCCGATTTTGAGGACGCGCTGATGCCACCCTAACCCTAAACCCTAAACCCTAAACCCTAAACCCTAAACCCTAAACCCTAAACCCTAAACCCAAAAACCCAAAACCGTATAAGAGCAGCCGGGGGGACTTTGCAGGCGACTTCTGCGAATAGCAGCGCCGGTCACCGCAACCTATTTCCTGGAGGGCCAGACTCTCAGAAGACAGGGTTTAGGGTTTAGGGTTTGGGGGTGTTAGAAATCCAGAACCTCCCTGTTTTAAGCTTCATAGTCACGCGCGACCATCAGCTGTAGTCGGTTCCGGCAGCTCGCTTACCCTAAGACCTAAGCCCTAGGCCTAAGCCCTAAGCCCTAAGCCCTTCGCTCTAAGCCCTGAGCCCTAAGCCCTAAGCCCTAAGCCCTAAGCTCTAAGCCCTAAGCCCTAAGCCCTAAGCCCTAAGCCCTAAGCCCGAAGCCCGAAGCCCGAAGCCCTGAGCCCTAAGCCCTAAGCCCTAAGCCCTTCGCTCGAAGCCCTAAGCCCTAAGCCCTAAGCCCTATGCCCTAAGCCCTAAGCCCTAAGCCCTAAGCCCTAAGCCCTGAGCCCTGAGCCCTAAGCCCTAAACCCTGAACCCTGAACCCTGAACCCTGAACCCTAAACCAGCTTCAGCAAGGAGTGGCCATATTTGTGCCAATTTGGGCGGCTTCACATGGGGGCAATCCGGAAGCTCGGAGGCAGCGGGATAGGTTTTTTTTTTTTTTTGAATGGTTTAGGGTTTACGGTTTAGGGTTTCTTTGGGACTGGGTAGGTAACCTTTACAGTAACCTTTCTGGCTCGATATAGACTCCTACTATATATACACGGTGAACCTTTTTTGGGCTGGGGTATTCAGCCCCTAAGGCTTGGGGCTTTAGAGGTTTTTGGGGCCTTTGAGCGTTGTAATGTAACGGTCGGAATAATTACGAATAGTATTCGCTTATGGCCCCTTTTGAAAGTATACCATAACAACTTTCCCCAAGAAGTCTATTCTAATTATTCAGGCCCTTCTATTCGGCTTTGCAAAGGTTCAGTCGGTGCGGTCGTTTTGCCCAGCCCGAAAACTTGGAGGCTCATGGTACTTATCAACCAAGTATAGCTGTACGTATAACCGTGCTTATAACCATATTAGGGCACTTCAGGGCCTTATACGTGGGGTTACAAGTACAGTTATAATTGGTTAGTAACCTTACAGTCTCCAGAGCTTTCACAGGCACTGGGGCCCTGTACTGTAGCTCTCCGTGCACCCTGAATGCTAAACCCTAAACCCTAAACGCTAAACCCTAAACCCTAAACCCTAAACCCTAAACCCTAAACCCTAAACCCTAAACCCTAAACCCTAAACCCCATGTGGGAAAATGCCCAGCTGAGGATGGGGATGAAGCGACCAGGAGAGTCGCTGCTGTTGGGCTCGGACAGTCGGTGATCTCGTGCTTCGTCGATGTCTTCTCATACGGCTTCGCAGGCCAAGGGTTTAGGGTTTTAGGGTTTAGGGCGTGGAGTTTAGGTTTTAGGGTTTAGCAAAAAGGTAGGACATGGCATATTTTCTCTTCTTGGTTTTAAGAGGATCATATTTCAGGAGTATTCTTTTCACAGGGTTTTAAGGGCCATCCTGGTTGTTGCACCTTGCTGCCTTCAACTTACGGATGGTTTTGCTATGTGTTGTTCAAGGGCTTTTTTCAACCTGCACTTGCGGGGCGTATGCATTTTTTGTTTTCGCCCGGTTGAGAAACTGACAAAAAAGCGGGGCCTAGGGCCCCTGAGGGAGGTTCCGTGGGCAAACAGAAACGCCCGGCAACCCAGGCGTGTTATTTTGTGCATCTCCGGGTCAAATAGGGGCCGGAACAATTACTAATGGTATTCCCTGACGGCCCCTGTGGAATTGCACTATAATAGCCCCCGAAACTCTATGTTAAGTAAGGCCCTATATAAGGCTTCTAAGACGGAGACAGCAGAACTCAGCCGAATGGAGGCGCGGAGAAAGAGGAAGCGGAAAGAGATTTTTGCTCTTGCCCACTATTGTGGGGACCAACCTCTTTCTGCCACATGGTCAGTTCCCAAGTTTATGGTCCCTTTTTGGGTGCCCGAAATATTCGGGCCCATAATTTAGAGAACTCACCATATGCCGACCCTACTGGGCCATTCAATTAGAAAAATTAGGGCTTTTAACACGGCCCAATAGTAATATAATTAGGGCCTCTCATAATATTTTTTGTAAGGAGTTTATGGACGCACGAATATAATATTATTGCTGGCCCGTGAAAACCAATCTCATAAAGACAACTTACGACATCTCCCTCGATTACCAGGATTCTTTGTTACCTTTAGGATTCTCTCCACACATTACGTTCATAATTTCGCTTATTTTCGCGCGGCTCTTTCGTTTCTTGCAAAATTACGGTCATTTTATTCACTTCGAAAATTATTTCATAATACGTGCGGGCTAATACTAATATTTTATGTGCCCGCAGAATACAATATTATTATAATAAATCCGGGGCATTAAGTAGTATTATAATTAGCCCCGGGTTTCGTTCGCATAATAATATAGTTCACGCGCTCACTCATAACTTCGTTCACTTGTAACTCTATTATTAGTGCTCTCTTTACACTCTTTATAATGTATCCCGGGCCTTTATTCGCACGGTAACTGAATAGAATGAATGCACGCGTGCGAATGTTAGCCCGGGTGAATGAACTAAAGCCCAAATTACAAGCGCAAAAACGTGCGTTAACTTACTTTTTGCACTTTTAATGGGCGTGTTCATTTCATTCACACATTTAATAATACTACGAAGTGATAGAGCGTTTTAAGTACAAACGAAGTGAATGCAAAGAACGTAGTGCGTGAATTAAATTAGCGATTGAACGAAGTAAACAAGAGATTTCTACTGGAAAAATCCTCAATCATAAGCTGTGTCCTGGTGCTCGCTAAAAGACCCAGCGAAATACAGTAGTTTTAGTGGGTCTTTTGCAGCACATACAATATAATATTATTAACGGGCTAAGTTAATAAATAACATGCAAGGCGTGAAAGAACGCGCGATTTTCTTATTGAATTTACTAGCCCGTGCAAAACGCCCACATTAAATATACTAAATTCACGCGTAAACTTGTAATTTAGTATTTTTAGGGGGCTTTTTGCCCACCGTAACAATATTATAGTTGTCTTTCCCTTTCCTATAGGATTTCTAATGGTTCACCTGTGAATAAGCCTTCTGTTGTGTTTCGTTCTCAAGTTCGCGCATTTATTAATAGAATTCGTGCAGTCGTTTCACTCTTTTACAATTCCATTATTAAATCGCTTACTTGTTCTCTCTTCGTTTCGTTCATTTCATATTGAATTTCGTGCATCACTACGTTCTTTACAAATTCAATATAAAATTCTCTTCACGAATAATAAACTGTATACTTCGTTCCCCCAACATTATAATTCATGCGTTCACATGTTCACTTATAATTATAGTATCGAGTTCTCTTCGTAGTATATTCACCCTTAGGACACAACCCTCTATCTCTAGCTCCTGTTGATGGTTTCTTGGAGGTGAAGTGAACTCATGACAGCACGCATCACTTCCGGACGTACCATCTTGACTTAGAAACCGTACCATCATGAGTCTTTCTACGTGACAGGAACTCTCTTGACAAGGAACCTATCTTTGGGCCCTTTCCTCACGCTTCTAGACTCTACATCTAATTCACCCGTCTCACCCACGCCCGTCACGTACTAAAAACCTAATAAAATGTACTCAAAAGGTAAATGAAGTGCACGCTTTTTAGTGTATTTTATGTGGCTTTTCTCTCTTCTTCTTTCTTCATCTGAATCTGTAATAATATAATGCACGCGTCGCTCACTCCTTGTCATTAGAATTATTTCCGTGAAGAGAACAAGAGAGCACATTACTACTATTATTATAACAAGTTGACGCGTGATTTTTAGTATTAGTGTGTGAACGCATGAACGCAACAACTGGACCACGAGGTAGAAACTGCCGCTGGACGCTATTAACGCAGCTCACGGATCGCTTCTAAGGGTGAACTCTCCTTCCCATGGAATCTTCTCCTTGTTTCGTTCTCTAGTTCGTTTTTTTCACTTACAATTCGACAATTCGTGCGTGTATTTCGCTCACTAGTTCTCTTCACGTAATACTAATATTAATCTTGTAAGGAGATGACGCACGAAGTTAATATTATGAGCGTGAAAGGAGAACGTAATGAACGAAATGAATGTTAGGGCGTCTATTTCTCTCTCTTTATACGCCCGTATTAATACTACTAAAAGGGCATACAATTTTATAATTAAAATGTAAAGAGTGAAACGATGCACGATTTTAATTCATAAAATTTGCCCTTTTTCCCCGGGTGCACAAGTGGCAACTGCGAGCGTTGGAACGAACGGACACTGCAACTTCAAACTGTCGGCTGTTTCGACAACCTGTACAAAAACTCTGTGACAGCCCCTTCAACAAAAGCTCCTAGTTCGTGTTATCAACACACGCGGCTTGCAGGTGCACAAGACACCCTGGTGTCGCAAGCTTTCGGCGCCAAGGACTACGACAGAGCCCGGGGCTACCTGAACTGCTGCCAGGTTTGGATGTTGCTTTTGGCTGGTGCGTGCGCCGTGGCTCTCTACTACACAGAGGCCACGGATTTAGTTCTGCCTTGATCAACACTTGTCTCCCCTTGCTTATGCTTAGAAAGGGCGTAAGACATGGACAGTGATTGGTTCTGCAGGCCTCCGTTGTGCTGGAAATCTAAGTTGAGAAGGCGAGGGAGAGGGGGACAGGGAGACAGGTGGACATAAAGAAAGATGGAGAGACACTTGTGTCAGAGTTCATTCGTCAGGAAACCTCTACTCTGAACAAATCAGAACAATCTTGAAACATGCAAACAGCAGACAAAGCAAACCAAGACCGGCCTTCACAGCATGCCCTCCACGCCAGCTCCGTGACCAGCGCGCAAGGGTACTGGTTGCCCGTCCACGGTGGGGTTTGCGATGAGTACCGGAAACAAGGACCGATGCGACCGATGCTCTCTGAGCGTCCTTCCGACGCCTCAGCACGTCCTTGAACGCGTTGCGAGCGAGCCTCGTTTCAGGTGCGTTCTGTGTTTCCTCTTTCGAAAACGATTGTGTTATTGAGGGCTTTTGTCCAAAGAACGACCTCGTCTCATGATGGTGAACAGGGAAGCAATGCTATCGACTCGCGGTGTGACTATATCATTCAAAAGGATGAAATCACTTTTCCTTGGGTGCGTTATGAGTGCTGGAAACAAGAACAGGGACCGGTGCCATATGAGCTAGTGCAGTACCTCATCGAGTGGTGAACATCCCTGTGGCAAGCAGCGCAATGGCTTCCACCCTCAAATGTAGTGAGTGAGATGGGCTGGGTGGAGATGCCTATGACTCAGCAGCCATGATCTTTTGCGGGAAGCCTGGAACCTTCATCATATCCACACAACTCAGAATTCGCCTGAAGACAACACATTTGGGCACAGAAGTTCTGAAACAACCCTAACAACAGCCGGTCTCTTTTGGGGGTGCCCTTTCCGCAGCACAGATTACTCTTTCTACTGGTCCTTGGTAGGGAATGAGGAAGTTACGTACCTTCCCTCCCCTTACATATATAGATATAATATAATATAATATAATATAATATAATATAATATAATATAATATAATATAATATAATATAATATAATATACATATATATAGACTCTTCAAGGGGTGTGCCCTTGCGGCAGTTTTTTTGATTTTTAAAATAAATTGGGAGACAAAAGGGTCGAAGATGCACCAGCGCAGTACTTACAGCGGCCACCAGCGCGGATATCCGTCGGCCTCGTGCGCGCCCTAAACCCTACACCCTAAACCCTAAACCCTGAACCCTAAACCCTGAACCCTAAACCCCAAACCCTAAACCCCAAACCCCAACCCCAAACCCTAAACCCTAAACCCTAAACCCTAAACCCTAAAGCCAACCCTAAACCCTAAACCCGAAACCCTAAACCCTAAACCCTAAACCCTAAACCCTAGAAGAGCGCAGGCCATCCTTCTCAAGATCGATGCCGCGGGTGAGGAGACCGCGGTTGACACCGCCACGCATCCCTGGCCGGCAATACTTACTGTTTGTTAGTGCACAGTTTATGGTTTAGGGTTTAGGGTTTAGGGTTTAGGATTTAGGGTTTAGGGATTAGGGTTCTTCGTAGGGAATGGGGGAATGAGGTACCCTCCTTAATCCCTTAGAGGGTATATATATATATATACATATATATATATATAGGGCCCGAATTCCCTCATCATCAGCTAACCAACAGTAAGAACAGAATCTGCATGCTCTGATTTTCTCCAAGCCCCTGAAGCCTCCCAAAGGTTCGTGATTGCTTGCGTTCCTGGAGCTTGCATTCAGTTCCAGTCGCTTCACTGCAAGAGCCAACCTTCCCCCATCCTCTCCAGTGCAACTGAAGCTGGCTGTGTGCCTGTTGGAGAAGGACGCTTATGCCTCGTGTTGTTTCTGTTGCGACAGTGGCAGCAAGATGTTCGGAACGAATAACGCTACGTGGAGACGTATCCCGACTAAACTCTTCATGCGCAGGTGCATGGCCGCATGTGCACTCCAGGTATGACGCGTTGAGGAAGTTCTTGGTGAATCAGCAGATCGGCTCACCAGGTTCCGTGGCTGTTCGCAAAGAGCGTGCTTGCATTGCGATCTTGGAGTCCTCTCCTCTCCACGCCAGCAAGGACCCAACTCGTCCTCCAGGGACTCACAGCATCATAGCGCAACTCTACAACCTTCATTCCTCAATCCCAGGCTCCATGAAGCCTCAGTTCACAAGCAGCCCTTAGCCTTCAACCCTCAAAACCAAAGGAGGCCCTCAACAGCAAGCAAAGCATGCCTTTGGTCATAGGGGCTTCTGGCGAGGTGTTGTCCATGAAATTCAAGTGTGAAAGTCTGTGCTGCTTTGTGGGCTGGGGAAGCTGTCGTGCGTGATAGCTAGAAACACTTCAAGCGCATGGAGTCCTCACAGCATGACCAAGAGGCCTGGGCACATCCGGTCTGGAGCTCTCAAGCAATCCAGGTCTCCTTCCAAGGTTTGAATTTCACCAAACATGAAACACCGGCCAGGGTGCGTATTTCTTTCGAAAATGGAGCGAACTCTGTTTCCAAATGTTCTAACGACTTTCTGGTTGAAACTTTGAATAATTCGAGAAGTCCAAGCTGCTGGAATCACTGCAGTCGGAAGAAGAAGAATGTTCCGCACCAGCAATTCAGAAGGCCCACAGCAGCAGCTATTTTCCTCGTCGAAACGTGTTTTTCATGCAAACCAATTTTTTTTGGCAAGAACCACTAGGCCCTTGGGGGATGTTTGATATTTTCCCTTATCGGGTTTAAGAGGGTTAAGGGCCATCCTCAGAAAACTGCACTTCAACACTCTTCCTTCGCAGCCTCGCCAGGGAGTTGCGGCTGTCCTTCCCGTCAGGGTGGAGTTGTCTTGCTGACTTACAAGAGTTGCTACGAAGAACCTCACGCCAAGAAGTTGTATGGATCCTTTCCAAACTCGCTCTACGAGCCTTGTGCTTGTACATGGGGGGCAAACCTTGCTGAGCAGGACCTCTCCTGAGAAGAGACTCTATTGTAAAGGTTCTTCATCAGTGGACAGACCCTCATTTGGAGCGTTGTGTGCGATTGGAGCAGAACTCAGGTTTTTGGACGCTGTGTGCTTCAGTTCCATGCCATTTCGCTACATGCGTTCTGCTGCTCGAGTGGCCGGAGCCTCAGTTGCGAACATCAGGTTTTCCCTGCGAAGGAGGCTGCCGCCTTGAGCACCAGGAGCACCAAGATCTTGTCTACCCTGTAGCCTATGTCCTGCCCCCACAGCAGCATGAGCGTGTGAGAGCACGTGGGAGAGCCCTGGAGCCCTCCCTAGTTAAGCCCCTAAGTCCGCAAAAGCTCTACTGTCTAGGTCTTCGATTGATCCCCTGATCTGCCTGGGCATTGCCTACTGCGTGAAGTCGGGAGTCTCCTTCTTTTTGTTGGGAGGCCCGTGGGTTCAAGGTTTTGGCGTGACTCGCGTGTGCTCGTCTAGTTGCTGCCGTTCTAGTATTTAGATGGTCCCTCGGGGTACATAAGGGGTCCCCTTTTACGGGCCGACATGAAGGAACTACCCTTAGACTTCGTAGCTCAGTGTGCACACTTTACACTGTTGGGATACTAGATTCCCCTATAGAACTGAAAGTGTACACTTTTTTGGGGCTTATGAACTCTAAACCCTATACCCAAACCCTAAGCCCCAAGCCCCAAGCCCTAAGCCCTAAACCCTAAACCCTAAACCCTAAACCAAACCCTAAACCCTAAACCC